TTGTATGTACAAAAGGGAACTTTTATTTATATGAAAGCTGTGTAAGTATCAAAGAACGTGGATAGGGCGCTCATTTTAAAATTATGAACATTTTCGCTGATATTTCACTACTATCGTACACTAGATATTCTGATTATAAAATCACATTTAATCCAATATTAGGTAATAGGTTGAGTTGCTTGCTTATCTTTACACATAATAAAAATTGAAGACTCTGTCTGTAATATCGGAATAACCGGCTTCTAAAAATGGCAAAATAACCCTCTGAGCTTAAGAGGGTTATTTTGCATGCTATTATGACATAGATAAAAAAAAATTAAAAATTTCGTCCGTCTGTCTGTTCTAGGATAATCTTCGGAATGACCGAACCGATTGTTATAAAACTGTACAAACAGATAGAGAGCAATGTCAGTAGTGAAATATATTTTAACAGAATAAACTTGGACGTTAAAAAAAAACGAATAATGTATAAAATAAGTGGTCTTTAAATATTTTAAATGTAAACATCCTATCCTACCAAAGCAACGGGGCGTGTCATTAGTTATAAAAGAATTTGAGTGCCTCTTACAAAATTGTTATACATTTTGGCTTAGGATTTTACTATGGGGCCTATGTTCAGTCGTGCGTGGGCTTGTGATGGACTGTTGTGAGTGATACTTTTTAATTTTATTATTGTGATACGTAACATATTTTATACGTGGAAGAGCCATGCTGTAGCTATATTAATAGTATAGTTGTAGCACGAATGGGTCGGCTCGACCGGGGAAGGACGCGTGGTCCTTCTTCCGTTCCCTCTCACAGAATACCAGTGTAAAATAGCAACTTAATGCTGCTGTGTTTCGTATGGTGAGTGTAGAGAACCGGAGACCTATTTTACTGGAAAAGAGGCATTCTATCTTAGTACTCACGGCTGATAACGAATCTGCATTTTAATTCGCGAACGAAGATAGATTTAGATGTCTATGCGCCACAGCAACCACTTACCATCAGGTGGACTGTGTGCTCGTTTGTCACCCTATCCTATAAAAAAATGCAAATCCTGCGCACGTTCTCTGAAACTTATTCTATAGAATGCCGAGAGCTGGCTACTCTGCGCCTGTGCTCGGCTGCCAAGATTGTTTTTAACCAAATCAAGGTAAGCCGATGTAAGTCTTACTCAAGTAGTCACACATCAGCACGTAAGTCATACTAAATTTTAAGTGATGATTGACAACACGCTTGGTGAGGAAAATATTACGTGAATGCGGTATGTCCAAAAGATAAAAAATCAAAAAGATTATTTAAAGGGCTTCACGATCGTCAACTCACACTAGAGAAAAGTGGCGGTTTATTCTTTAAAATTCTAAGATAGCTCATTATTTCGCTCTTAATTTAATTTATGAGAACTAAGATGGAATGCTTCATTTCCAGTAAAAAGGGTCTCCGGTTCTAAACTCACCATACGAAACACAGTAGCGTTAAGCTGCTATTTCACGCTGGTATTCTGTGAGAGCGTGGCCCTTCCCTGGTGAGCTGACCCATTCGTGCGACAACTATACCAATAATATAGCTGCAGCATGGTATAGCTAGCTGTATACCTCTACCTCTATATTTGTGTCATTTGCTGAAGAGACTATCGGTCCGTGGTGTCCAAGTGCTGTGAAGTTCCTGAAGAAAGTGTATCCGCGACTGGTCGTCGTTGCGAGTGATAAAAGTGCTGGTTTTTTTATCGGTTAAATACTAAGAATCGTCATTCAGCGTGGAAACGCAGCTAGTGTTCTTGGTTCTATATTGCGGTGAGTAGGATTGTATGATAATTTAAGTTTTTAGTTTTAGCATTACTTTTTAATATTTGATTGTTATGTAAGTAAATGACATTGATATTAAAATTATAACGAGTGCAGTAGAATTTCTGTTTGTGAAAATATATGGGATAATCTATATTTGTTTTGCACCTTGCACTTTGCATCGGCATTTGGCTTCTTTTCAGTTTCTTCTATGGCGGATATTCTATATAATATTGCTTTATAACTATGATAATACTAAGTAACATCTAGTATACTTTTAAATGTCTATAATTTTAAAAGTGTAAAGTAAAGCAATAGTTTCCTTACGTTTTAGTGAGAATTATGGAGTAGAAAAGCTCATGTGTGAAATGACGGATAGTCCTTAAAATATCTGCGACGACATGCCGGATTCCTAATTATGTACGATGCAAGATGTAATGTTAAATAAATACATAATTTTAAGAAATTGCGATCAACAATTTTTCGAATAAAACACAGTGTATATGTTACACTGTAAGGTATTCTGAGCAACTGACTCTTATCTTATATCTTATACTATAAATATAACCGTATTTATACAGTACATTTTGTATTATGATTGAATACGAAAATTTCACTGGGCATATCCAAAAATGAAAACAGTTATTGTTATAAAGTTTCATTTTATTGCATTATTCACAAGTTTTATAAATAGCCTCATAATAATTCCTTAATTACATTTAACCTTAAACAATTTAGTAATGGTAGTAGGCGGGAGCGGCGTGCACCAGAGGAGCTGTGTTATGTACAACGGCATTGAAACTGCAACAGATAGAGATCAGCATTATTAGAAAATAGTTCCTTTATAGGCGTTGTTTACGCCTATATAGGAACTTTTATATTTTTTAACTTTTTAGTGGTACAGTTCAAAAATTTGTACAACCGACTTCAATATAAATAAAATGAGAACATCTTCAATGTAATGGAAGTCAATTAAATACGCATTATTAAAGATAACACAAAAATTACTGGTCATATCAAATTTATATGGTACCAAATAAAAAGCACCAGCTTTCAAAAAAATAATCAAAATCAATTTAAAAAAAGTTCTGAGATAACGCACATAAAAATATACTGTCGAATTCAGAACCTCCCATTTTTTTAAATCGGTTGAAAATAAATTTGAATTAGTTACCCATTGTGAGCATCAGCACTGTAATCGACGGTACGGACAGAGCCATCAGGTTGTACCAAAGAGTAAGAACCATGTACAGCATCACCGTCCCGACTCTCATGCTGAGACTTGTGATCACCGGTATGTGGGTCCGCTACCGAGTATGCGAAATCATATTTGGGATGAGCCTGTAAATGTTAACCATTGCTTAGTAGGTCAGTGTGCGCGATAAACTATTTATAGGGCTCAGAATAACAAAGTAACTGCCTCATACACTCACACACACATATGCGTCTAAATTTATTTGCAACTAACAATAATTACAAGAAGTTGAGCGTAGTTTCGGCGTCACTTGGAAATGTACGCAGCGCACCGTCTAACTTACTTTGTTGGTCTGAGTTATAGAGTTATTATTTAACCTACATATTCATCATGGCCACCATAGTAAGCAGGTGCTGCATAATATCCACCGTAGTGAGCCAGTGGAGCAGCGTGAAGTGGAGCCGAGTAGCCTACATCATGACGTAAGATGTTTTGGGAGGATACAGCGTGTCCGTGACCGTGGTAAAGACCAGCGTTGGCAACCGCCAGAAAAGCACCAATGGAAATTATCTGAAATATTTGTGTGTGCGATTAATTAAAGAGATATGTTTCATTACATTAAAATCAATACTTAGCTTTTAGTTAATATACAGTTTTAAAAAAATTAGTTAAAGTTACAGCTTAAATACGACTACGTCGCACTATTGGATATAGGCATGCACGATATTTTCTTTAACCACTGAGTGAGTTGTAATTCAGTTCTTAAAATTGCAATTAATAATTTTATTAGTATCGACTGTTATCGAATTTGATTGTTTCGTTACTGTAAAATTTACGGTCAGAGCTAAGTTATTAAAGCTCTACAGTTATTAATGTTATATGAGAGTATTGTTGCACTTACTGTGGAGTACATTTTGAGCGATTTGTGTCACAAGTCACAACCGATTGTTGATTGATGCCAACGGCCTAGCGTTATGGTTATATAGAACGTTGCCGGCCACAGTCCGGTATCGGTGGGGTAGAGAAAACCCTGCGTAAACCTTGACTCTATTAACGTATGTCATTTATGAAATGTGTTTTTATAAAAATACAATGGGATAGTTTCGACAGAAAAGCAGGTTTATAGAAGATAACAGGGTTTAAGTCGTTTTAACAATTGTATTAATTATTCAAAGTTAAGCAATTTATTATATTTGAAAAAAAATTATAACGAGATTTTATATTTTCTTCTTTGGCCATTTAAAATTACGCATATGTATATATATCTGGCCCCTATTATCTGTCACCTTTGACGTATACTTTAGGAGTATTTGTCGCTATCATCATGACAAATTATATCAAAATATCTTGTTATCCCAGAGTATTGCGGTTTTGACAGTGATGTATGTTATTTTGTAAATTTGCTTAGCGCATAAACGTAAGAATAGATCGCTCAAATACTGAATATTTGATTATTGCGTAAATTGAAGTAGCAATTTAAAATACATATTATTTTTAAAAGATATATTCTTACTTATATTATTTATAAATAATTGAGGGTTGTGCCCCGATTTTTATTTGTACCTACTTGTATCCCGTTAGAGCCTATTAAAGTCAACTGCTGAACATAGGCCTCCCCCACAGATTGCTTCATAGGGGGGATATTTGCTATAGTTGCCACGCTTGGCAAGGGGGTTGGCATTCGTAATTTTTATTTTTAGTAATTATTAGGAAGACGCTGCTGCCCATCTCCTGATTTGTTTCCCTCTGTCGCCTCTTACGACACCCATGGGAAGATATGACTTAGTGGATATTCTCACACCGCCACTACACGGTAACCAATACCTATTGTATAGTTAGCAACAATAATTTATTTTATCAGTAGGAAGGATATAACGTAATCTGGCAATTATTGGTAGCCAAATTGCTGACAATTATAGTATTAGAGGTTTTGTACCTTTTACATTGAGGCCTGATACCCGTTTGAGTATGTATGTTTCGTATATATATATATATATAGGTGCATACATTCGGTTAATTATCGATAACATTAAAACTCAGAGATAAATTCTCATACGGTAACACCATTTTGTCAAAATATTTTCTCATAGCTTTGAGATTGCGTTCTATTATAATACGAGTATACAGAATAATCGTACTTAATCGTCATTTGATGAAAGCTCCAAAAGGTTCGAAATATCATATTGTTTTCTCAGTAATTTCACGCATTTCTCTCGTAGTTCCCACAGATGACAGTAAATCTGAAGTTCTTTTTGCTTGATGTTGGTTGTTGGTGTCAATGGGCTGGAGTCAATTACTAGGATGTTCACTTGTTTGTCACTTTCATGTTACAGTACAATAAAAATTGTAATAATGTTAAAAAACTCATGTATAATATGACGATGATAATATATTTTTATCATACTTATATTATAAATTTTCATAATAAACTTACGCAACGAACGCAGTTTTTCCAACTGCAAAATGAATATAGAAGAGGGTGGCAAACGAGCATGCTGCTCATCTGATGGTAAGTGACAACACCAGGGGAATTGCTGATGCGTTTTCGGCCTTTTAAAAAGGAGTTGGCTCTTTTCTTAAGTCCCTAAGTCGTATCGGTCCAAAAAAATTGCTGGCAGTCGATTTGTGTGTAATGGTAATCGATTCCATAAGGAAGTTGTGCGAGGAAGAAAACTTCTTCTAAATCGCACAGTGGTGGACCGCCAAACATCCAGATGGTATGGATGGTATCGCGAGTATTGTCGCGAAGTGCGATGGTGAAATTGATCGGCTGGAATTAGTCCGAACAATTCCTCAGAGCACTCCCCGCGGTAGATGCAATAAAATACGCAAATAGATGCAACATCTCTAGGCAGTGCCAGTGAGTCAAGCCGATCGGACAGAACTCGGTCGTCGACGATTCGAACTGCTCTGCGCTGGGTGCGGTTAAGTGGAAGGAGCTGGCATTGAGGAGCTCCTGTCTAGAGATGGGAGCCGAACCTGCACCTTGTAAAGTTGCAAGCGGTGTGCCGGCATGAAATACTATCCCGCTCTGCTGAGCACGCCAAGCTTTTTAAAGGCCAATTTGGCCTTATCTTCCAAGTGACCACGAAACTGCATATCACTCGATATGTCGCCACCGTGGATTCCGATACTGGCTGAGGCAACAAGTGGAAAGCCATGAAACTGAGAAGATACGATAAAGGGGTTCTTTTTAGCGGTAAACGCGCAAACTTGTCGCCCTCAATCTGAGACTTTGTTCAACAAATTCTTGACTTCAGACACAAGTTTGTTCCGGTACTCGGCGACATTTTCCCGAGAAATATTGGCAGGGCCGGTATATAAAGCATCACCAGTGTTGTCGTCTACATAGCAATGCATGCAGCCTTGTGAAACACCAGCGTTAATGGGCTTGTAATCAAATCATGCACCGTCTACTACGACCTTGATGCTCCAATCTGCAAGAAAACTGGTGATCCAACACATTGCACAATTTCTCGGGAAGCCTATAGGAAGGGAGCTTCAAAAGAAGCGCTTTGTGTCAAACCCAATTGAAGGCCTTCGCTATGTCAAATATAACGGCAAACGCCTCCTCCTGGGACTCCACTGTCTCCGTCCATCTATGAGTTAGGTAACCTCGAAGATCACCAGCTGAGCGACCTCGACGGAAACCGTACTGGCGGTCACTAATCAGCTGGTGATCCTCAAGGTACCGCATGAGCTGACAGTTAATAATAGTTTCCATTGCTTTGGAGAACAAGGAGGTGATAGCGATAGGCCTGTAGTTGGACGGATTTGGGCGGTCGCATTTTTGAGAAATCGAGTGAACCAAAGCTGTCTTCCATAGTTTGGGACTACGCCTAGGGAGTAGGAGTACCGGAAAAGATGCGTTAAAACCGGTGCAAAACCCCGGAGCACACGTCTTCGGTACAATATGTGGGACTCCATCACGCCCATTCGCCATGTTGACGTCCAGGGTGAGGAGTGCTCTGCGCAACGAGTGCTGTTTAAACAGCACTTCCTGAATGCAGCACTCATACCGCGGAATGGTCGGCAGTGTGTTCCCCCAGCCAGAGATAGTCTAGCAGGTTGGCATTCTCCTTTGCGGCATGGGCCAAAGAGTCGTCCACTCTGTGTAGAGATGGCAGAGATGGTTGATAGCAGTTCCTTTGTACAGCCTTGGCGAGAAACCAGAATGCACGTGTTCTCGAAGGAAGGCGAACTAGTTTCTCACCAATTTTGCTGATGTGCTTTAACTTTGCCTGGGCAATGAGACTTTTGAAGGACCTGGGGGAGCAATTATACTTCTTTTTAAGAGCGCTGGTGTTTATATCCCGGGACGTTGATGCGTCAGTCCAGGCCGGTAGCACTCCTGCTTATAGCGTGATGCAAATTTTACAGGAGTGACCAAACCATGGCTGAGTTCTGCCTCCAATAGGCACCACGGATGATGGAATAAATAGTTCCGTTCCCTGAAGTATCACAGCGAAAGAATCAGCAACAACTTTGGCAACAACTTCAACAACATCAGCAACAACTTCCCCCAAGGGTAGGATGCCAAAAAAGACCGCATCCCGTCCCAATCGGCCGATCTATAGTGCCAAATACGGCGGCAAGCTGCAGATCGCAACTGCGATGGGAGCGTGAGTGGCACCATACTCCGGATCAGACAATGGTCCTAAGAGCCAAGAGGGGCATCGACGAAGACCTGATAGCCGTCCGGATTAGAGGTCAGCAGAAAGTCCAACAGGGAAGGTACATGAGCCTCTACATCTGGGATCCGCGTAGCCGAAGTAACCAGTTGTGTCAGGCCTACCCAAGGCGACCCCTGGCAGGGTCACCTTGGTGGCTCTACACCACTGTTAAGACACTTGACAATATTGATAACATGATAGACATTAATATAAACTAATTTAATATAACATAAAATTAAATACAGTAAACTATACTGCGATCTTCGTGAGGTTTATTATTAACATATGTATACGTGAGTTGTATTAAACGACTCACATACATATGTGATGTTATTGTAAAGAATTAATCTAAATTGTTAAATGTTTTACGTTTATAATAATTTTAAAGAAGTTCGTTTATCGAATTTCTCAATAAGAAGCGATTATTCTTTCAAACCCGTTGAAGTCTTTTAAACAAGAGATATTTTGCTCTCCATTGACTGCGTTTGCGAAGAAAAACCTAGCGATGCGGAAGCGGTGGCGAGAGCGGCACGTTGAGGCAGTATATTATACATTACCTAGTCAGGTCATAAGTATTGTCACACAGTAAAAACTTTTCTTTTAGAATGCTGGCCACAAAAAAGTTTATTGAATTCGAATTTCGAATTGTTCATGAAAATAAAACTGTATACTTTTTAGAATTTTACTCATTTTTAAATATGGAGTGGACGCTTAAAGAAGACCGTGTTGCAGTTATTGCGTTGCATCGTTGCGGTTACGCGTCAATTCAAATTTTTGACATACTGAAAAATTTGAATATAACCAAAAGATTCGTTTATCGTACCGTCAAACGATACAATGAAGACTCTAGTATAGATGACAGGTCAAGAAGTGGTCGCCCTCGGTCTGTTAGGACTC